ATATGTGCATTCTACAATCTTTGATTCGTCTATTACATAGTTTCCTATTTTCCATTGAGGAGTTAGGATCAGTTCCAGTCCACATTCGATCTCATCTCATTAATTACACTTAATGGTGACTACGATATCAGAGTCTAGAATAGGTTCTCAATCTTTCTGACATTTTTCGCCTTCATCATCATCGCACTGATCTGAAACTACGATCGGTTCCAGTTGCGTATTTATTTTTGACAAAGTCAACAAGAGTAAAAGAATAACATTGAGAAAAATAGTGTTTTTCATTTCATATAAATATACAATCTATGTAAAATACAAGCATATATACAGGTGTATTGATTGCCATGTGCCTGAGTAAAAAGAATTAGAAGTTTTTTTTATTTTTATTTTTTGTTCATGGCAGTCACCAATGATATTTAGACACGACAAGTAGAGCAGAACGCAAAAAACAGCAACAAAATGAATGAATGCAGCCATCAAAAGTGACTCACACGAACCTGTGTCCATACGTCCACAATTTACCCATGTAGACAAGCTCTGCGCAAGATCATCAGATGGCATAAGTTCTAACAAAATATTTTCGTTGTAAAAAATAGAGATCGTTAATATTCGTTGGATGAAAGCTTCAACTTTATGTTTTGTTCGAATTCCGTTACAGAACGACTCAGACAAGAACTGTCTCTATGAATCATTCTATCGAATTAGAAACTTTTCACAAGCTACTGATCATCATTTAGGTAAGCAAGATATGTGCATTCTACAATCTTTGATTCGTCTATTACATAGTTTCCTATTTTCCATTGAGGAGTTAGGATCAGTTCCAGTCCACATTCGATCTCATCTCATTAATTACACTTAATGGTGACTACGATATCAGAGTCTAGAATAGGTTCTCAATCTTTCTGACATTTTTCGCCTCGATCCTCTTTGGAAGTTTAATTTTATGAGCTCAAATGATGGATGGGATTGTGGATATGAGCGTGGGAATGGATGAATCGAACACTCATCAACTCCCACATCTACACCCTTTGAATGATGTCGTTCGGACTTTGGTTATCTTAGATATCTGATCGATTCGTACCATGATATAATAAATGAATTTCTAATTTGTATAAAATAATCTCTTTCATTTTCTTTATGTTAGTTAAATACAAATTATTCTCTTGCATGTATACGAATTGATAAGGAATTCAATAGGTGATAATCTAAAGATGGAGAAAAAGTAAATAATTATTAAGCAAAAGAAAAAAATTCTATTCATCAAGTTGAACTAATGCAGTTGATAAAAAAATATTATCTCTAAGAACTATTTTCAATAGATACAAACAATTAAAAGATACAGAATTAAATGTTATATGAATATCTTCTCAAATTTAAACATTTTCTCGAGAGACATGATCATATGCATATATATGATTATTTACTTATGCAATCGTTAGAGAAGATAGTAATAAAGTTCGTGAAAAATGAAGATAATTATTGTTGCACACTGTGACATATATCAATACATTTATTAATAAACTTTCTTCATAGAACGTGATCTTATTTTAAAATAAAATATATGTTGCATGAATTAATTTACCTCAACATAGTCGCTTAAATAAAGGAAGAATATATTCCTTTTATCACAATAAGTGTTCAAGACATTTAAATTGAGAAAATAATCTCTTGCAAGAAAAGATATATGAATAGTTTCATACTATATTTTAGTATTGAAATCTGTCAGAGATAAGTTATTATCTGTAGTAAATATTATCAGCATTATACATGAGATAAATTTCATCTTAAGCAACTAATTTATTGGGATTTCATTTATTTTTCAAAACATAATATATAAATGGTTAATTAGTTGTTACTATAATTATGTGATCATTTTAAAAGACATGAATCGCCAATTTGGAGAACTAGAGAGTAAAGAGAATTTCATTGTTGAGTTCATTATTCTGTAAAAAAACCTTTATCAATCTTCTTAAGTATGTCAAGGACTATGATATGGCATAAATTTAATTGCTGAACCTTTTGAAAGAGAGAGACATAAACTTAATGAAATCCCTGAATTGCTCTCATTTTCCAAATTCAAGTTCATGAAGTCAGTGAAATCGGTAGATGTCGGAAGTCTCCTAAATAGAATGTCATTAATTTTGTCTAAGTTCCGAAGTCTTTATGCTGCGTATAACTGACGTCGTGCTGTCAGTTTTATTCCTATAGTCTTCATGTTTTCCTCCGAAGGACGGAGTGAAAAAGTTAGTCGTAATCCTGTTGTCTTCCTCTATTTGAAAATCATTATGACGAAGTCAGTCTTAGTCATGAAGTCTTTGCTTTTTTTTTTGAGCAAGATTTATCAAGTCAGTCTTGTGTTTTGGAGCCTTGAGATCTATCAAATCTAAATCCATAAAGTTAGTGAATGTCATTTTGTCTTGAATCATGTCGAACTCAGAGTCATCAAGTCAAGTCAAGCCCTATAGTGATGAAAACTTTTATGCATTGAGGTCAAAGTCTTTAAGGCAGTCTAGCTATTGATGTCCTTATTTCTATCGAAGACAGAATATCAATGCCATTTGGAGTCTTCGGATGTTAAGTTTCGTCATTATTGAAGTGTAGTTTTCGTGTTCGCGTTTTTTTCCGCATCTTACACCGAACCAATTGGAGAAACTATATCCTGTGGCGTAAAGAAATAAATATCTACCTATTTTTTTCAGCATGCTCCCAAGATATTTTACTTTGTTTATGTGCTCAAACAGACGATTTTTGACAAGGTCAGCATATTTTTGAAACGGCACGTCATGGTATTCTCTGCAGTAGATGAACGTAGAAACTCTTTTGACTTGTACTAATAGATTTGGAGACAGCTAAAAGAAAAGTTTATGAGAGTCTATATTTTCTCACTATCCAGAATTTGTTTTTTTTTCTTTAGCTAAACATCAGTCACATCTAATAGATGTTTCATTCTTGCCGACTATTTTCGAACATCAAGGTGTTAACTTTATCGAGATGATGATATTCAGAGGTGAATTTTTGTACATACAATATGATTTAGCTAGTAATTGTGTTATTTTAAAGCGTTTACATCGATACCAAAGTGAAAAAATACAACATCTGATAGATCTTTTCTGTTGGCTCTCTTCAGTTCTATTGGCACAAGCCAATAACATCCTGTTTTTGACTATTATACAGAATATCAGGACGCATGTTTAGAAAAGATTAATATTCTATCATTTGCATTTTTGCAGATATAAGGAAAATAAGTTATTTTGCAAACATTCAGACACACCGGGTATTTATTTTACATTCTTTCGCAAATGAAGATTTCTTCATGTTTTTCATCATTCCTCTCCTATCACTCTTTTGTATATATCGCTTGAAAGGATTCCCGAAACTTGCACTACATTTCTTTGCAATCTGTTCATGACAATGATAATGCTTCTACTTAAGTGAAACATAAATGAGTGAAGAAAGAGAAAGACGACATTCTTTGAATGATCTGACGATTTAGTGCAGCTCTTCGGCCGTCTCAGTAATATTTGTCATAGCCCATTCAAGTTTTTAGGCGTTGAAAGAGGTAAAAAAAGCGTCGAGATTCTCTCGGGAAAAAAGTATCTTTTTTTTGAATTCTTAGAGTTCCAATGGTTTTACCCAAACAATTCTACACAAATTGAATAAGGTTTATAACATGCATGTCGAACGATTTCTTAAACCTCTAAAACAACAGTGGGAACATGAGAATCAAAAAGAAGATATCAGAATGCTATTCCGATGTTCAAGAAGATTGGATGGATTTCCGAAATCTTTTCTCTGAAACGCAGGAGTTTTCTGAAGATTCCGAAACTCTAAAAGGTTTTGGCCATATGCTTGGAAATCATGCTTGATTTTTTGAAAACGCTTCCACCATTTTCGGTGTCCGAAAACCCAAAAGCGTTTTCGATAAAAAGATATTGGGAACGCAAAGGTTTCTGAGAAAGCTTTTAAATCAAAAGTGGTTTTCGGATGCTCGGAAATCCAGTAGACATTTTCATAAACTTAGCATGAGTCTGGAAACCTTTCCGAATACGGTCATAGGTTGTCGAAAAGGTTTTTGAAGGGGTTTCGGTTTCTGAGAAAACCATTTCTTTAGAGTGTACGGAATTCCGAAGAAAAATGCATCTCTATATACTGCTGACGAGGAAACATATCGAGCCCTCAGATGCTTTTCGGTTTCATTTGATAATTACGGGTAGATAGTTATGAATATGGATGATGGTCTTCGTCGATCTCAGTTATCTTATCGCGGCTTCCTAATCTTTACATCTCTATAGCAAGTCCAGCACCCTCTGAGTTTATACAAGTATTTTGCTTTGAAAATTTCATTATGGGTCTGAGATGGGTGTGTAAGGTGTCGACGACTGATAAAGCAACCATCCACCGTCAAGTGCCCTCAATATAAGTGACATATAGCTATATTTTTCATTGAATTCTTTAATTAAACACCAGGTCGCTACAGACGATTGTGTTTGATTTGGTTGTGTCTGTATGCGTGTGAATGGGAGTGTCATCGACTTTCATCATCATAAACCCCACCAGACTAGGAATCATGCGGTTCTTCACTGGATTTTTCTTCAGAATTCATTCACTGTTTTCTTTCTTCTTATGTTATCACTACGTTATCGTTAAAAAAACAATGAATTTGAGACTTACCTTGTAGAGAATCCAACACACCCCACAATTCGTTTTTTTTTCGTTGGTTTTGGTTGTTCCTTCACAAATGGGTTCTTGGGTGTTTTTAGACACAAGTTTAATAATGGATAACTGTTTTCCAGTTCAGGCAGTGCTTCATCTTTTCATTGATTGAGACCGTTTAGAACATTTTGAGGATGGTCACCAACGGGCTTGATTTCTTACATCGACACTTGTGTTCGAAATCATGCTGCAATGATTTTGTCGAGACCGATAATGATCGGCAGAAAACTATTAAAATCAATTATTACATATAGATATTTTTAATTTTGGCTAAATCGCTCATGTATTTCATTTTCGACGAGAGCACATTGACGATGAATCACAGTAGTCGTGTGTTTGCGTCTTCTCGCTATCAGAATTGTTACCTCTTCCGCTTTTCAAATATTTTGTCTATTATGTTTTTAACTAGCATTTTTTATATTATACTGCATCAGTTTTCAAAATGCCAAGAAAAATTCTTGTTTTTCACTGACTGCAAACAGGATGTGGGTGTGGGTTTGAGTATAGTTTTGAGTGAGCTTTTCACCCACCCACATCCCACCCATAACGAAAGCCACAGAAGTTGGGCGAAGGTTTACGAAAAAAGTTTAGGTGTTAGCAATGTTTTTTTACAAAGCATGATAGACTCGCTTGCTAGTTTAATATTTTTTAACGAAAATTTTTCGGAAATCGTTCTGTTGCACAATGGAGGAGTAAGCAAGATTTGAAACTTCGTAGAACTAGCTTAAGATGATATCTTGTGGAATTTATTCAATTCTCGATTATAATGATATATTTATAGGTACACAAGAAAAAAAGTAAGTTGTCAATTTTCCGAGCGATGTAAAGGGTTTGTCATACAATGAGCACCACCGCATCCCTCAATGAGACCTTGTGAAGGAAATGTATCCACATGACATGGTCGCGATTTATCATGTGTCATTTGATGGAAAACACCTTTAATAGGATCACCGCCTGCATAAGTGATTACAGTTTGATTACACACACATAGCATATTATCGCGGCACTGATGTTGTTCAGCAATCGATGTAGCTTCATCGGCCGCATCATAAAATTTTAAATCAGCATCACACAGAAGATGTCTCAGTGCCTCACGCACATCATGTCCATGCAAAAGCCATTCTGTCTGACCATCTCCTTCTTTTGGTGTCTGTACAGTGTAGACAGCCAGTTGGTGTGCTAAATGGCTATGGCAAATAAATGAGTGACGACCAACCGAACTCAAGACGATATCCAAATGCATATAATCTCGATTTTCCGGTAATTCAACAGCAATCACTTGACGAAAGAGGTGAGTGCGTTCGATAGCTTCAATACCAGCACGATTTGTTCTTTCGCCATTGCCAATAAGGAGTGTACCATGACCAAGATAAGCAACATCACCACCTTCAACAGTTGCTGTAGAGTCTGCACGAGTCTCCCAGTCGACTACATGAAGACCCTTAAATGAGAGATGTGCATGCGGTGTATGAAAAGTGAAAATGACACGCATTATAAGCGGTTCATTGCGTCGAGCCGGCTTGGCCATGCGCCATATGAAGACAGATTTCTCCATGATAGAGAAAGAATCTCGAGTGAATAATATATTCGGTAGAGGAGGTACTAGAAATGCATCATTCGATGAGCAAGCATTGAGAAGGATTGATTTTGAGCTTCCACCACTGCTAAGTTCCTCTTCGGTACAAGCAAGACCTTCCACTGCTGTATGAGCTAATTGAGTAGGTGTTAAACTGTGGAGAAATTCAGCAAGAGCATTAGATGCTTCTTGAGAAAAACCACTATGGTTAACGATGCCATCGATGAGCATTGTCTTTGCTTGGGAACTATTCTCTAAAGTTTCACGAAGAAGATCTAGCACATAGAAGACTTTCACATTTTCTTTGCGCAAGGCATCAGCAAAAGCATCATGCGATTGATGAGTTTCATTAATATTGGGTATGTTGTCGAATAAGAGTAAATCTTTGTTTTCTGGTGTGAGACGCTCAAGCTCACGTCCAGGACGATGCATTAACACTGCATCGAGTTTACCAGCTTCTGAATAGACGCCAACCAGTTGTTTGTGTAGTAAACGGTGGTGGGCGTGGTATCGATGGTGAAGATGATGATAGCCATTAGTATTGAGCGTATGTAAGTGAGACATTACAGGAAAGTCAAACGATGCGAACTATTGTAGTTTGCAATATACTTATATAAGAAATTTACAGTAGACAGAATGACTTATATACCTATCACTTATTCTCATATTTCTTTTTCTCTTGCGTCCATCGAGTCATATTTCACTTTTTACGGTGCATTAAAGCCCAGAGAGGCTCGTCTCAAATGTTCTCATGATTCTTTGAAACAAAGCAAATAAAGGAAAAACGATAGATAATGTAACGACGTCATTTCGTCGTCTAAAAGTTTCCTTTGGAGGTCGCCAGTCACAATTCGTTAAAAGTACCCGGTTGTGCCTTTTCTATGTTATTCTTTAGATATAATACTCGAAAATGTCTATACCGATACAAGAGAAAGAGATGTAGACTCAATTATTGATAACAATATTGCGCATAGAAAAAACATATTTAAAGCTGATTACAAGCATATGATCTTTCTCCGTAGGCCATTTAACCCTTTACCCTCCGTTGGCCAATTTTGAGTAATTAAGCAAGAATTCGAGACGATCCACGTACATTGTTAGAGCCTTCAATAAGTTACAAAGTCGAAAAAAAGTAAAGTACTTTTCGTCATTCCTTAGCAAAGTTATGTAGTTTAGAAAATGGTGTTTTTTTTAAAGACGAAAAAAACATCTTGTTTCTTTTCTCACATAAATTGGTTATTTTGGTGTGAGTGAGAATGATAGCTACTACTATGGGCGTCATCTTTTGGCAAAAAGATTTTGCTTTGAAAGAAAAATATTGATTACAGATGTGAAATCAACATTTTCCATGACAAAGTGGGATGAATGTGGGTCTTGTTGAGGTGAAAATAAAAAAGAAACTTAATCAACTACTGACAGCCACACCTACCGTCACACTCTTCATTCACAGGATACTATTTTCATCTAAGAACAACAACCACCAATAAATACATCAAAGTTTTTTTGGGATAGAACAATAAGTATTATCCCAAATTATGTGGAAGCAGTGCGCTCAATCATTGAAATTCGAACTACATCATGAAGAAATTAATAATATTTAAAAGCCGACAACAATTTCCAAGGATAGATTTTCCTTATTGGCGAACATTTTTAAGGTTGTGGGTGTTGGTGATGACCAGAGGAATCTACACTCACACTTAAAAAGCTTTTTTCGATTACTAAAAATGCTTAGAGTGACATTTATTCTGCCGCACTAGTTGTATTCATTCCAAAATTAGAAAGTAAACTAAATTTTCTAAGTGTGGTTTATTTTCGTGGTTGTTTTATGCTTAGATGTTAAACATAAATTTAATAACATCGTTAATACTTCTTTCAATTCAAAGAAAGTTCCACATTGAAACATGATCAAATTAATATGTTTTAAGAGTAAACATACAGAAAACATCAATATCTGGATCGAACACAGAAAGTTGCTATTCATTTCATGATTTGATCTATTCATTCGAGTAAATACAAATATACATTATCATGAAATATTAAGCAAAGTCGTATGCTGCAACTGGGTCGAGTACCCGGCACCCGATTCGACAATATATTCGATTTCGACGTTTCACAAGATTTTTACTTTTTCAAACTACTCAATGTATATATAAGCATAGGAATGACAACCAGTTCGATCACGATCGAGCAATTTATTGTACTTGAGAATCTGACAGAGAAGTGAAAAGCGAAATTATTTAATTAAGAGAGTTCGTTTTTAATGCAGACTCATCTACCGATGATGATGAACCATATGACGAAGTAATTAAATACATGGCGAGTAATGGGAAAAGCATTCATATACGCATACACAATTATAACGTTTGATACCAACATTGTGTTCCATTCCAGCATCATCATCATCCACAAACCAATGTATACTTAACGAAATTGATCGGATTTTACAAGCAGAAAGATACCAAATAAATCTTGAATCACTTGTCCTTTCTATGGAATTTGAGATGATCTTTTTTCTTTTGCTCTTTTTTATGGAAGAAACTAAATAGTATACTTTTTCATATAAAGTCAAAGTTCGAAAACTGTACTATGATTGTGAAAGTAGCTGCCGGATGCCGATTAGCTTCGGTCATGGCCCCGTTGGGTATCAGGTACAAATTGTTTTTAAAGATTTATTTCTAATTTGCATTTATTCTCGTCAATAATCCACAAAGAATTCTACTTCAAGCACAAGAATATTTCAAAAGCTGAAATAATGAAAATAATAAATTTTATGCACAACAGTTCAAATATTGATAATATACCAACAAGCAACTTATCAAGATGAAATATTTTATATATTTGTCTGTTGTTTTCAATGCTAAAAAAGTCTGTTGTTCTTGCTGAAATTACAAACAGACAAATTGGAAAGAACATAGTCCGGATAGGAATCGAGAGAAAGAGAAAGACACAAAAATAGATCTAGAAACTAAAGAAAAAAAATCACACACAAATGAGAAAAAAATTACGCTAAAAAAAATAACTAAAAACACATTAATTACATGAAAACATGTAAAATGCGCATTGATGTTTTTATTCAATGATTTTAGAAAGCGAATAGAAGCCTAGAACAGAATAATTAATTTTAAATAAAAAAAAGCAAAAAAGACTTACATAAAGGCCATCATAAGACAAAATAGTCCCATAGCTTCAGAAAGAGCAAAACCAAGAATAGCATATGAAAAAAGTTGTTGTTTTAAACTAGGATTACGTGCATAAGCTACTACTAATGAACCAAACACAGTTCCAATACCTAAACAAATAAAATTAATGTTTTTTTTTTTTCTAATGATTTTCGAAAAGATACTCGACCTGCACCAGCGCCGGCTACGCCAACAGTTGCTGCACCAGCGCCAATATATTTAGCAGCTGAATCAATATCACGACGAATAGCCGATGTAGCTATTGTACGATGTGATGGCATTATTAATGCATTAGCCGATGTTAATATTGGTAATTGTTGTTGAAATACGATTTGTCGGCTTGCCAGTAACTGACCAAGACGGCAAAAAGCCGATGGTGTTGACAATGTTAAACGTGTTAATGATGACATTGTTCTAAATAGATAATAATTTTTGAGCAAAAGATAAATAAAATTTAGTAAAAGAAAACAACGAAAAATATGACTATATAACTATATCGCCAATGGCTTTTGCGTTCTACACAACATTACGACAGAAACAAAGACAGATGTTGCGAACAGATGTCACTGCTTAACAAAACTTTTTTAAAAAAATCATATTTTATGAGAATTATTTTTTATTAGTATTTTTTCTTAATTTTCTTTTTGAAATAAATATTTTTAAAAGAATAGATTTTTTATGATAAAAATTGAATAAATTATGGATGGTTATGGATTGAGGTAGAAAACTTTGACGTTTTTAGAGTAACATTTCACATCATGCGACTTGTATCAAATAGAAGTAAAATCTGTAGAGCTTTTGCTATTTCGAACAAATATGTTGTTTCACATTTTGCTGAATAAATTAATACTTAGTTTTCAAAATGATTACATGAATTTTTAACTAGAAAAATAGTAAATTTTAATTTATTCTATTATTTTAAAATACTTTGCTCTTTTTTCCTTCTGTCCATCAATCTTATTTTGATTGTATTTAGAAAAAAAATTGTGTTTTTCACTTGTCATTTATTTTTACTATCGATTAGGTATTGTTTGTCAAATGACAAAATAGGATTTTCCTATACGTTGCTTATTAATAGATTATTTAAGAGAGCTTCATTGTTGTACACTTGCATACACTGATTATGATAAACAAGTGCACATATTTACTTTGTTCAAATAAGCAGAGTTTACAAAAATACTTTGTTTTGAATTTTCATTAAAAACATTTTATTTTTGTTAGATATGTTAATGTCGAAAGCGAGATTACATCCCAAATCAAATTAGAGAGAAAACTTATGTTAAAACTCGAACTAATTTGTAGATCAATGTTGTATTCAAATGCTTATTAATGAACTGACAGGTAACAATGACATTTCAATTAATACAATTATCAATGAATGAATTAAGTAAAGATTCGATCTTTGATAAGTAGTTTTTTATTCAAATAATCCTTGTGTATAAGATCATTTATGGATTCAAACTTAATTTATGTATTAATGATTATATTAATTGAAATGCCACTGCTCTCTCTAGACCATCACTGAGCATTGAAATGCAACACTCATCTGCATACTAGTGCGAATTTTAACATCAGTTTCCTTCCTAAAATTAATATCGGATGTAATCTCACTTTGGACGCTAACATACATATGTATATAACGTTATTTATTTTAATATAATTTATTTGTATGAATCGATAATTCAAGTCTTTATATATAGCCATAAATCGTTAAACCATTCTCCCTTTAAAAAAGTCAGTTTTCGTCAAAAGATTCGAAATTAACATAAATATACATGGGAAAACAATCCTATATCCGACCTTTTCATAAACGACATGATTTTTTATTTGACATTTTGTTTTTTTTGCCAAAATTTTTGATTATTTCCGTTACATTCTGTTTGACAAATATGCTTATATACTAGAATTCTCCACGGAGCTTTATTGTAGCTAATGTTTTTTTTTGCTTGAAAGAGCATATGAAACTACAGTACTTGATAGAACCTGTTTTTATTATTATTACCATTATTACTATTATGTAAAAAAGTACTTCTATAAATAGATAACAATTGTTTTTGAGAGTTATTCGAAGTATTGAGTTTGGCATGCGTTTTCTCTGCATACACAGTAAGGATTTAAAAAGAAACAGAGCACTGAAATTTGGCATGCTCTTTCAAATAAAAACAATATTAAATCTATAGAATGAGGACCCATAGGGAATTTCGGCTTGGTACATGAACTCTTTTTGATTCTTGTTTGCTGAATAGCTCCGGAAAAAATTATGATATAGAACTGAAAATTTCATGTGATTTCAATGCATCTGACCCAACATGGATTTTTGAGGAGACAGAGCGGAACATTGATAAATCTTTCATTATAATAATGAGATAAAACCTAAAGATTAAATGTCATTTGAAACGGGATTTGCATATAAAATTTCATAGAATAGAGATTTCATTCTATAGTGATATCTATCGTCATGAACAAACAATTAAGTTGGTTACAATAATTAAATATAGAAATTCGAGAATGCTTATCGATGAGAATAAAATGTTAATACGAAATTATTTAACTTGAGAAAGGAATGCTTGACAATACTGGCTGAGTATGATCAATGATATCATAATGTTTGGTTAATAATTATTATCTACTCTAACACGCCATATGTCATATTTGTTACTTTAGTCAACAGAAAATAAAAACTCAAAGCTTGAGAAATTTAATTTCATTCTTTGTTTTCCAAATAATGAAGTATATTGAAAAAAAGAACCGATTAATTTTAGTTTGCAGATGACAAGAATTTTTTTTATTCTATTCTCTTGATTGAGAAGACTATGTTCTATAAAACTAATTATAATTATCAAAATAGTTTTCATCCTATAATTTATTAGAAATAATTCAATGTTTCTTGTTGATATTCATTTTCTTTATTTTATATAATATGAGAAAAAAAAAAGGAAATATTGCATTGATTAATTAAGAACTTATTTTATTCATTTGAAATATTACTATATGACTGTTTCATGTACATTTTTTTTGTTCAGACTTTTTTTTATATAAAAATTCTTTTCATGATTATAGATAATTTAAGAATATTATGAATGATAAAATACTTAAGATTTATCATATTGTTAAAGAAAGCAAATTAGTGTTTTTTTTTTTTTTTTGTGAATAGTTATTTATTATCAATACAAGACAAGGCAGTATGTGTCGGCTTAAGTGAACTGTAATATATATAAAAGTTTAATATATAGTAGGAACGTTTTTCTTTTCTATAAAGTGGAAAACTAGAATAGACGAGAATTTTCTTCGTCGTAGTTAAATACTTTTTTGAATGACATCTAGATGAGACAAAATCTAAAAATAGAATAATTGAAAATTAAAAAAAAGAAGAATATTTTTTGACCCTTAGGCAGCAAATGTAAACAACGAAAAGATCAAGCACAAAATTTTTTTTAGCATTTTATTGTTAAAAAAGTTGGTAGGATTCATTGAAACATAGAACACTAGCAATATTTCTTACGTCATGTTTTATCAATTAAATTGTAAAAATGTTTTTCCGTAGCGCACTATTTGTTTTTCGAATTTGCGTTATTACATATTCATTAAAAATGTATGAAATTATTTGATAGATTTAAAAAACCAACAATTGAGTAAATTGAATTGTTTGATTTCTCGAACCATGTGCATAAATCAACATTATTCCTAATTTGTTAATAAACTTTAGTCTATACTGATACACAATATTCACATGTTGTCCCATAGTAAAATATTTTGCACGCCGACTATTATTCATACGCATTAGTACATTAATAATCAAATATAATGGTAAGAATACTTTTTATCTAATTAAACTAGTCAAATATCTTATATACATTTTATTTATAGAAATAAATAATCTTTTTACAATTACAACAAAAAGAATTATTGTCGATTTATTAGAACATTATCATTGAAATCAAATATTGATACTAAATGCAATAATACTTATTTAATATTCAATAAAATAAATATGAATATAGAAAAAAAAAGAATATTAATTTATGATTGAATATGTATAGAATAATAAATTAAATTGAAAATATGTTAATCAAAGTTCATTTTAGGATTAATAAAATAGGACAATCATAAACATTTGTTAATCGAATATCATATTGTTCAAATCGATTTGAAATATATGCAAGTTTCAATTGTTGATTAAATTCATCCTTTTATTTTACTATAATTTTTCTAATCGTTTTTTTTTTCAGAATCTTTACATGATAATAAACATTACATGTTTTATTGTCTGATAGCAATAGTATTTATTAAAAATTGAATTTAGTATTAAACTATTTGTATTTATGATTACTGTCATTGAATCTAGTGATAGTTATGATATATTTTATTCATTTAATCTAAATCTTATAGGATTAGATAAATCCAAAAAAGAAAATCATCAATGTTTTATTTCAATTCATAGTAGTGGCATGACGAGGAAATTGTAGATGGTAGGATAAAGTACTCTCCACTTGGAGAAAATCTATAAAACATTGTATCAATGATAGTAATTATTATGTTTTTCTTTGTTCTAGTGATAGAACGGCGCTCGGTCTAGCTCATCCTCGGCTATGCCACTGATCCAAAGTGAATCGTTGAAAATTATATTATCAAAACAAACTAATGATCCTATTCAAAATGAATTGAATTGTTGACTTTTAAAAGAGTAGATATAAAATTTTGTTTTACGATTTATTTCTATTCGCTTATATTATAGAATATATTGATCCGATTCGAGAATTTCTTAAAGATTTTCAACAGATCATGTAATAATAATTACTGTTCATGATGTTTTTATTAATAAAACTGAATTTATCATTTATTGCTTTGAGTGATGTCGGTATTACAAAGATATAAAGAAAAATTCGGAATTATTTGCGATTACACTTATTAAATATGTAATAACGAAAAATTATTTAATCACAATATTGTTAAATATTTTCTAAGCACGAAGATTCTATTAAAAAAAAATACAATCGTAATGAAAGTTGTTTGAAAGGGACAGTCAGTATAACAGAGACGAATAATATTATAAATATAGATGTATTATTATCCATAATTCAATTATTGGATGAAAAGCAAACAATGATACTTCTAATTTTATCTCGTATTGTGGGCGTCTTAATAGCACTTGTACTTATTATACTGAAGCTTTTTCTCTATTTTTTGAATGCAAGGTAAATTTTCATAAGAAGTTTTATTCTATTTTTAAAGATTTCTTTTATTATATAGGTTTATAAACAACAAATGTGTATATCAAAAACAAGTCATATCGACCTGGATGTAAACAATTAAATGATGACTTCATGCTGACATTTTTGTTAGATTTGACGTTGATATCCAAAAAACCGACTATTTATGATATAATTAGTGAGAAAAAAATGATGTTTTTTTTTGTTTTTACACAAAACTATTTATTTATTTTTGTCTTTATGTACATTCGATAAATTAATATTCTTTTTTCTTGTCTTGTTTGCATACACATATGGTAAAAGGAAAAGAATTATCCTGATAGGGTCGATCTATATTTTTTATTTATTCTAGATTATTTTACTAGTAGCTTTAATTTATATGTATGCAAATAAGGTTGGATAATATCAAATAACATAAGTGACAAATGTAGACTAATTTTAATCATCTTCGTCACAGTAATTGATGCGAATGATGAAATTTATTAATGTTTTGTTTTTCTTTAATTCTAATTTCTTTTGTTTTATGTAAAAGAAAAAAGATTATGATCTGAAAAAATCTAATTCTTTTCTTAATTGACAATAAACGCATATAAATAGAACAATATGCAAAAATATCACATAAACAATGAGTAATGTTTATCATTTATCCGTGTTTCTATAAGAATGCCTATCAATAAAGTAAGATAATAAAGTTTTTTTTTGTTTTATGTAAATTATGTTTCATGAAAATTTATCTATGCATCATATTTATGAATTTGAAAACAAAAAACAACTGAGTGCATAGTACTAATTAAGCAAAGCACTTGAGACAATATGGCGGTAACCCATATTTTTTAGGAGATGCAAAAAGAAATATTAGTGCATGTCTAGAATACATAATGATAGAGTTTGACTACGACAAGGGATTTTTTAATCAATGTAGCAGGCGCAAATAGTTAGTCTTTCTCTCTTTCTCTATCTATCTCTCTTGCTTTATATTTTTTTCTGCTTTTTCTCATTCGTTCGATGTTTAGTGATTGTTTTCTTTTGCTGTTCCTTGCTGTTGTGTTAATGCGTATCTGCGCGCCCAGAGAACCCGGGTTTTTGTTTGATAGTTGTCATCATTGTCGATGGCATTTCTTTTTTCCTTTTTTTTTTCTCTTTTCCTAAGCAATTGCTGCTATATTTAAAAAAAAAACAGACTGGACCAATGTAGTTGACATCATTTCCTTCTTTTTCTTTTTTCTCATACTGCTCTTCGCTTTGTATTATCATAAATAGTCGTGCTGTGTGTCTGCCTTCTCATTCTTTCTTTTTAATATAGGATATACTATCTACTCACTAGTTTATGCTTAATCAAAAAAAACAAAAACAAAAGCTCTTCTTTGTTTTTTGTTTTCAAGTAAGTCTATTCGAGATATATCGAATATGAAAAAGTTGTACAACCATATCTTTTTTGTTGTTGATGAGAGTTTGTCAACTTCAATTTTCTAAAGCTTCTGTTGATAACTAATGATTATGATGAAATGCAAATGTTATTATGATACTCGACAGTCGTCATTTGTTTTTATGAGACAATATTTTGAAATTTAGATTGTTTTCTTGTTCTTCTTTTCATTAGATGATATAAACTTTATATTTTTTAAAGAAAATTAATTATTCTTTTTATAGATTAATTTACATTACTGATGTACTTACTATTAAGTATGAAAGAAATGTAAAATTCATTTAATATTAAAAGCCATTCGATGAATTGAATGCTAGTGATGATATAGAGAAAAATGTTTTCTCAATAAACCATTGTTTTGTTTTTCTTTTTTCAATATTATTAAAATTTTTCATCTATTTTTAGATAAATTATATGTAGAGTATATCGAAAATAACAACAAAAGTTTGTTAACAAATTATTTTGACTTTGATTTATTCGTTGTTGTTCTTTTACAAATTATAATAATTCAATGGGAGATCGATTAGGATCTACATCGAATTCATTATCATTGAATCCTGTTGATACATGCAATGCTTATTATTCTTTAAGTCAAGATGGTAATACAACTCTTACATCGCCATCGAATGTTATAGCTGCTGCGGCTGCTCCTACTACTGCTAGTTCAACAACATCTAGTACGCTTTGCATGCTTATAGATGGTCGTCCTATTCAACAACGTTGTAAATTATTAAACGATGGTCTTATGCAAATTTGTCGTGTTCCTCATGCAAGAAATATTATTGAAAAAATCCGTTTTTCCCGTTTTCTTCGTCGGTGGGAAGATCATCATCTCTCTCTTGAACACACTGAAATATTATCCAACACAGTTTGTGTTTCTTAACCTTTTTTTTTTTAATAAATATTTATTAAAAAAATATTTATTTTCTAGAATGAAGGTTATATGGATCGACCAATACTTTATACATCAATAGAAGATATGTGTCCATGGTCAAAAACTAAAATGATTGATTCAAAATATCGTTTTTGTATTCGAATTGTTACAAATGAATGTATTTATTTTCTTCAAGTAACTAATTTCAATTTCATTCAAAATGAAATCGATAATAAATAACATTTTCTGTTTATTTTAGGTCGGTACACTTTATTTAAGAGATCAATGGTTCTATTCACTTCAATGGAAAGTATGTGATTGAAATTATATCTATATATATATATATTTTTTTTTGGTTTCTAAAAATAAATTTTCTTGTCTTTTAGCGTAATAAATTAAAATTTGAACGAATTTTACGATCAGCAAATCGTCCTGAAATATTATTAAAAGAAATGACAGTAAAATTTATAATTTTTAAACAAATTAATATTTTTTTTTTTATAAATTAAATCAATTTTAGCATATGATTGATTTTGCAATGACAATACCAATTGAAGATGTTGAAATTCATCAATTTCCACTTGAAATTATCTCTGAAATTCTTCAACAAGTATAATTTTAAATATATTCTTTTTATTATTTCTCCTTTGTTTTCTTTTGCTAGCAACAATGTAATTTACCACGATTTGTTCATGAAAATGTAATTGTATCCTTAGCACCATTACTTGAGAAAAATTATCCATCACCAGAAATATGTGATTTTTTTAGTCGAGTAAAATTATACAAAAAAAAAAAACAAACATAATTTTCTTTTCTTATATATTTATTTAATTTAGCATTGTCGTGATAGTCCTCGCTCACAAATTGTTATTGAAATGTTTACACCTGTTGTTCAAAGAATCTTAAAACATAATACTGTAAGTTTCATTATAAATATCTAAGGTAATCCCTAAGAAAATTAATTGAAAGGATTTTGGTAAATATCCTCGTATGCGTGTATTTGTTCAAGAATATTTACATGCACTTAATTCACAAAATGACGGTTTACATGTTGTACAAGAGTTTATTAAAAGGTAAATCGAAAAAAAACAAAAGACATATATATTTAAAAAAGTAAATGAAATTTATTAATATAGAATACATGGTCCAACAATGATCTGTCCATTTCCACGTGTTTTATCAAATTTTGTTTCAGTTTGTCTTGCAGCTATTTATAATTTTTTTGAAGATCGAAAAAAGTAAGAGAAAAAAAAGGAAAACAAAAGTTTTACTTTTTATTTAATTTAAAATTATTAATTGAATGCTTAATTTTTTGTTTTTGTATGATTTAGTTTTCGATTTGAAGATAAAGATAGTTGTCGAGCATATGAAGAAGAAACTGAAAGTCAATTAATTTGTTATACAACAATGTTACAAACTATGTAAGTTATATAAAAAATTAAACTTTTCATATTTTAAATTTCGATTAAAAGGACATGACGAGCATACAGAAACTTTTTATTGAGTAGAAAAAATCATACTGAACTTCAATATTCCATAGATTTACATTCTACGCTAGCCAGTGACGCAGCCAGAAATTTTTTTTTGGGGGGGGGGGGACGGCAATAGAAAAAAGGGATTTTTTGACTAGCAAAAACGAATTAGCCTGTACCCCCC